ACGCTCAGCTCCCTTCAGCCTCACCGCTGTGGGTGACTCTCTGGCCCCTGGGTGAGACGTGACCTCTGGGAGTAGCAACAGGCTTTCCAGAACCTTCTATTCATGCAGACATCTTGCAGGCCCACTCTGGCCTAGCGGGCGTCCTGCTTCATGGTGGTGCCTGGGCACCGTGCTCCCAGGGAGGACTCACACTCTGTTTCCCACCACAGGTCATCTGCCAGGTGTCCCTGGCCCAGGTCAGCGACGTGGATAAGGCAGTGGCCGCGGCCAAGGACGCCTTTGAGAACGGGCGGTGGGGGAAGATCAGCGCGCGGGACCGTGGCCGGCTCCTGTACAGGTGAGCGTCCAGCCGCCCCTCCAGCTTGGGGGCTGAGGCCGGTCCTCCTACCCAGGCCTCTGTTCCCGGGATCCTGGGTCCTGGGGAGGTCATGGGACTAAAGCGGTCAGACTGACCCGGCTGGGTGTGCCCCAGCCTGAGTCTCAGAAAAGACTCCTTGGAGCCGGGCACAGTGGCCATGCCTGTCATCCCAGGGGCTTGGGGAGGCTGAGGCAGGAGGATCTCAGTGTGGACAGCCTGGGGCTAGCAGGTCAGGTGTGCTCCAGGCGAAGTCCCCAGAACTCCTGGAGACTCCATGGTGGTAAGGAGGCACTGGCGAGTGACAGATGCCCCCCAGAGCTGGGATCAGGCAGAACTGTGAGCCCTGGACACCCAGGTGGCCTTGGGAGCCTCCTGAGTGCCAGCAGTGGGCACTGCCATTGGGAGGGTCCTTCCCACGACACTCTGCTGCCATCTGGTGGCCGGTGTCTTAATTACAACCCCCAGTGACTGAAGAGGCTCTGCTGCCATCTGGTGGCCGGTGTCATAATAACACCCCCCCCCCTAGTGACACAGGCAGGTCCAAGTGGAGACCCGAGGGGACAGACATCTGTCACTAGTTTCCTAGTGACCCGTTTCTGCTCTGTGCACATTCCCAGTTGCCTTGAAGGGGACATGTCCCTGGATGCCCCCTGAAGCTCAGTGAGAGAGAGAAGGTGGGAGGTGATGTCTTAGGAAGGGGAGGGGAAAGACCTTCCAGAGAAGGGACTGTCCCCTGGCTCAGTGCATGGCTCCCAAGGCAGGGGGCTGGCTTCCCCAACGCACGGTGCAGACATACAGAGACGGGAGGACAAGGCCAGGTTGGTGGCCGGGGGCATCCGTGCAGGGCCCAGATCTCTCTCCCCTTACCTTTGGCCAGACTGGCCGACCTCATGGAGCAACACCAGGAAGAGCTAGCCACCATCGAGGCCCTGGACGCCGGCGCCGTGTACACGCTGGCCCTGAAGACCCACGTGGGGATGTCTATACAGACCTTCCGCTACTTCGCTGGTTGGTGTGACAAGATCCAGGTGGGTCACCTTGGAGCATGGGAACGGGTGGTTCCTTGGCCGGGCGGCTGCGGAACAAGCCACAGCCCATGGCTGGGAACGACCCCATGGATTAGCTCCAGGTTCTGGGAATTCCAGGTGGGCTGGGCTGCACCAGGGTTCCAAACGTGTATTAGTCATAAAATCAGCGTCCTGTAGTGAGGTGGCCACGTTAGTGTCTGTAGCAGCTCAATTCACAATAGCCAAGCTGTCCAGCCTAAGTGCCCTTCAACGGATGGATGGATAAAGCAAATGTGGTACATGTACACAGTGGAATATTACTCAGCCTTGAAGAAGAATGAAATGATGGCATTTGCTGGTAACTGGATGGAGCTGGAGACAATTGTGCTAAGTGAAATAAGCCAGTCTCTCCCCAAAAAAAACAAAGGTCAAATGCTCTCTCTGATATTCAGATGCTGATCCACAATAGGGGGAGGAAGAATGGCAGTTCATTGGATGAGACGCAGGGAGTGAAGGGAAGGGAGGGGAGGGGAGTGGGAAAGACAGTGGAATGAATGGGATGTCACTTTCCCATGTTCACATAGGAACACACAACCAGGGACACTCCACACTAGGTCCAACCAGGTCCAGTGGGAAGTCACACCCCATGTAGGGATGATATGGCAGAATGCACACTGCTGTCATGGAGAGCTAAGAAGAAAAATAAGTTTTTAAAAAAAATATGTATCAGTCAGCTCTCGGTACTATAAGAAGTGTCTGCAACAATCAACTTATTAAGAGAAAAGGTTGGTCTGGGCTCAGTTTTGGAAGTTCCAGCCCTTGCTCAGCTGTTGCCTCTGTTGTGGGCTGAGGCAGTGCATCATGGCTGGAGAGCGTGGTGGACGGCACCACTCATCTCTCGGCGACCAAGAAGTACAAAGAGGAGCAGGAGGAGGAGGAGGTGAAGGAGGAGCAGGAGGAGGAGGAGGAGCAGGAGGAGAAGGAGGAGCAGGAAGAGGAGGAGGAGGAGGGGAAGGAGGAGGAGGAGGAAGGGGCGGCCAGAGGAGGAGGAGGAGGAGG